ACTCGCTTTTGTGCTCGAATATTTTTACAAAAAAAAACAAATTTTGCATGCAAAATTTGATTTTTTGTGTTTACAACGTAGTCCAGGGTAAGTTTTCACCAGAAAATCCAAAAATTGCAAAAATTGTTTTTTTTTGTAAACACAATTATTGTTTGTTGTTTTATATGCTAAGATAAACTTGTAGAAAAATCAGGTTTGTTTTCTCAACCACAAAGTTTTTCAAACTAAAAATTATCTAGCCATATACAAAAAGTAACATTTTTGGTAGATAGTTCCATGTGAAAATGTTAAAGTTAACTTACATGGCTAAATCACTTAATGTAGTTTGTCTGCGTTGTAACTACCAGTTACACCCTGGGTTTTCTTATGAGAAAAAACCTTGGTTAGTGTTTCGGATTAAACACAAAAATTCCAAACAAATTTTTTTTTTGTTATTCGTTTAAAGAAAAAATGCGTATCATACAATTTAAATATACGGAAAAAGCTTATCATGCAATTTCATTGAACAGAAAATTGCTTGTGCTCTTTTCATAAAATTTTTGTAATAAAAACTATGGCAAAACACTTATTTAATTCCAGAATGTGGCAAAAAATGCTTTAGTTTTAGAATGTTTTTTAATTCCAGAATGTGGCAAAAAATGCTTATCATAATAATTCAAAGTATGGAAAAATACTCATCTTGCTATTTTATTAGTATATTAGTTTTTTTTTGATAGCGGACGAAATAGTATGAAACAGTATGATAATCTTTTTTTCTCAACCCGGTATTCTTCTCTCATAATATCAAATGTTAACATAAATTCTCGTTTAAGATTCAAAAGATCGTTTAAATGTTAACATAAAAATTCTTGATCATCGTTAAAGAGGCATTCATATCATTCTCGTTAATCGATACCAATCTACTGATTTACACTGATTCAGTGGTAATTTTTAAAACTCAACTAATGGGTCTCTATGAACAACAATGTCATATTAGATTCAAGTAACCAGTCAAATTTAATATGGTAGATTGCTTAACTTCTCAATTTTACCGAGTGCTTCAAGGTTTCATTCGAAGTACACATTGCATTTTGTTTCTAGTTACCAAAAAATTTTGTAAAACGGCGTGTGTCAACAAACGCTACCTTAACAAAACCCTTCCAATGTGATAATTTTTGTTGCAGCTGCTCCAAAATCAAATAAAACTAGAAAACTTTAGTGGCTGTAAATATCAATACAGTGTTGGTTGAAAAGTTGGTTGAAAAGTTGGTTGAAAAGTTATTGATGTAAATTTCGATTCATTTAAATTGTGTTTTGCTCCTTTTACAAACTTCAAATATTTGTACACCAAATTAAAATTTTTTTACATGTTTATCTTTGCCAGGAGGTCGCTGATTCAGAAAGTTCCACCGATTTATAGAACTTATGTCTTCAACTTTCCTTGACAATTGGACAACTTTTTGGGACTTTCTGAGATTCCAATCACAACCAATAGAGCTTTTAAAAAAACTGCACATAATCACCTACTAAAGTTATTTAATGTATTTGAACACTTGAATACTTTCAGTGACATGGTCGAACAATAACATTGTCTTAAAACATGTTTTGGTAAATACAAATGAGTTGATTGAAGGCTTTCAAAGACATAAAAATTTTAATTATCAAAATAATGAGTTTAATTTTCTTCGAAAAAAAGTGCTTATCATAAAATTTTAATAAATGAAATTGTACGATAAGAATTTTTCAGATAAAAATTATAAATTCAAAAACCATTTGAAACTTTGTTTGGGCAATTTTAATTGAGTTTAATGGGTGCTTTCAGTGATTGAGATCAATTTACAGTCAAAAAGATAATTTAGGTTGGAAAAAATGCTTATCATATAGTTTTCATATATGAAAATTGAAAGATATGCAGATAGTTTCGGTCGGAAAAAATGTTTTTCATAAAGTTTTCATATTAAATTAAATGATATGCATTTTTTCATATATATAAAACATAAACTTGAGGTAAAAATTTTTAATCCCTTTTTGTTGCAAACTCGCTTTTGTGCTCGAATATTTTTACAAAAAAAAAACAAATTTTGCATGCAAAATTTGATTTTTTGTGTTTACAACGTAGTCCAGGGTAAGTTTTCACCAGAAAATCCAAAAATTGCAAAAATTGTTTTTTTTTGTAAACACAATTATTGTTTGTTGTTTTATATGCTAAGATAAACTTGTAGAAAAATCAGGCTTTTTTTTCTCAACCACAAAGTTTTTCAAACTAAAAATTATCTAGCCATATACAAAAAGTAACATTTTTGGTAGATAGTTCCATGTGAAAATGTTAAAGTTAACTTACATGGCTAAATCACTTAATGTAGTTTATCTGCGTGGTATATACCAGTTACACTCTGGGTTTTCTTATGAGAAAAAACCTTGGTTAGTGTTTCGGATTAAACACAAAAATTCCAAACAAATTTTTTTTTTGTTATTCGTTTAAAGAAAAAATGCGTATCGTACAATTTAAATATACGGAAAAAGCTTATCATGCAATTTCATTGAACAGAAAATTGCTTGTGCTCTTTTCATAAAATTTTTGTAATAAAAACTATGGCAAAACACTTATTTAATTCCAGAATGTGGCAAAAAATGCTTTAGTTTTAGAATGTTTTTTAATTCCAGAATGTGGCAAAAAATGCTTATCATAATAATTCAAAGTATGGAAAAATACTCATCTTGCTATTTTATTAGTATATTAGTTTTTTTTTGATAGCGGACGAAATAGTATGAAACAGTATGATAATCTTTTTTTCTCAACCCGGTATTCTTCTCTCATAATATCAAATGTTAACATAAATTCTCGTATACTTTAAGATTATTTCCAAAAATAAAAATTCTTGATCATCGTTAAAGAGGCATTCATATCATTCTCGTTAATCGATACCAATCTACTGATTTACACTGATTCAGTGGTAATTTTTAAAATTCAACTAATGGGTCTCTATGAACAACAATGTCATATTAGATTCAAGTAACCAGTCAAATTTAATATGGTAGATTGCTTAACTTGTCAATTTTACCGAGTGCTTCAAGGTGTCATTCGAAGTACACATTGCATTTTGTTTCTAGTTACTAAAAATTTTTGTAAAACGGCGTGTGTCAACAAACGCTACCTTAACAAAACCCTTCCAATGTGATAATTTTTGTTGCAGCTGCTCCAAAATCAAATAAAACAAGAAAACTTTAGTGGCTGTAAATATCAATACAGTGTTGGTTGAAAAGTTATTGATGTAAATTTCGATTCATGTAAATTGTGTTTTGCTCCTTTTAAACTTCAAATATTTGTACACCAAATTAAAATTTTTTTACATGTTTATCTTTGCCAGGAAGTCGCTGATTCAGAAAGTTCCACCGTCTTATAGAACTTATGTCCTCAACTTTCCTTGACAGTTGGACAACTTTTCGGTACTTTCTTAGATTCCAATCACAACCAATAGAGCTTTTGAAAATAAACTTCACATGATCACCTACTAAAGTTCTTTAATGTATTTGAACACTTGAATACTTTCAGTGACATGGTCGAAACAATAACTATATATGATTGCTTTATTGGCCCTACCCGCACCGAGCGCTCATGGATTCTAATCGATTATAATGGATTCACAAGACAAAAATAATCGATTATAATCCATTACGGATGTAAAATTCAGACCACGAAATCGATTATATTGCCATTATAATCGATTATTTTTGAGAAAAAATAATCCATTATAATCGATTATAATCGATTATAATCCATTATTTTTGTCACTGAAATCGATTATTTTGTCAAGAAAATCCATTATAATTGATTATTTATGAGGTTAAAAAATCCATTACAATCCATTATAATCGATTATAATCGATTATTTATGAGGTAAAAAAATCCATTATAATCCATTATAATCGATTATAATCCATTTTAGTTAGCTAATTCAGCGATTCTATTTTTAATTTTAATTATGCCTGGAAGAAAAAAAGCAAGTTTAAAGATGTAAAATTACAAAACTGCAAATATACGAAAACATGCATTTATATAAAATTCTCGTTACTGTTTTAAAATACTGCAATAATATGATTAAAAAAATCAGCAATATATAAAAAATTTTGTGCACTAATGATTTTAATAAGTCCTCTTTGTTTGCGAAAACCATTTACCATAATAGCTGCCAGCCCGACCATAAAATTCAAGTAATAATTTCTGGAAAAACTATGAGTGACCCTTCTGGAAAAGGGTCAGTGATAATCAAGAATTAACGTATAATCAAGAAAAATTCCGTTTCCAGGGTAAACTAATATAGAATTACGAAGGATTACTCATATTTTGTCATGTTTGAATGTAAATGTAAATGTAAATTGTCATGTTTGAAGTTAACTCCGTGTTTTAGAAAAAACGTGAGGTCGCACAATTTCAAAAAAAAAAATTCGAAAATTTAGAAAAAAATTATAAAAAAAACTTTTGAAAATATATTGAAGAGAAATTAATTTAAGCAACTGACATTAGTAACAGTTTTCCTGAAAATTTAAAAGAAGAAGTTCGCCATTATAATCGATTATAATCGATTGTAATCGATTAAAAATGGATTATTTTGCTTTAAAAACAAGTTTCATTTTCTTTCAAAAATAATCGATTATAATCCATTATAATCCATTATAATCGATTATATTCGGATTATTTTGCTTAGAAAAATAGTATCATTATAATCCATTTTTAATCGATTATAATCGATTATTTTGTAATTTCATAGACACTGTCTATATAATGACAATATAATCAATTAGGATCCATGGGAGCTCGGTGCGGGTACGAAAGAAAAACGTTCATATAACTTTCAATGAAATTCAAACTTTTATATCTAAGGAAGAAATATCATCAGAGCTCAACGTCTCCAACATGTTGTTGCGGCAGGAATCGTAAAAGAACCTCAAATACCAGGTAACATATTCCAGTATAAAGGCCGCTGATGCAATCAATTGGAAAACAGATTGAAGTCCAAACAGGAAAAACTGAATTGATTTCAACTCCTGCACAACGAGCAAGGACAATATACAGTATAAGCACAGGAGATTGATCAGAATGTTGATGGGTATCTGAAATCACAATAGCAATGTTTTCCCCTCATGTTGAAATCGAGTCTTTTAAATCGATAAAACGTTTTTGTCAAAAACAAGGCATTTCAAAAAAATAATAATTTTCATAAACGGCAAGTAAAGCGAACTCAGGGATTCGACCCTATGACCACCCAAAGAGTTCCCCACTTGATACATCAATTTTCGGTGGATAATCAACAAAACCTCCATGTCTTTAAAGCGCCATATCTTGAAGCCCAAATTGCATCAAAATACCGTAAATTACGTCAGAATTACGTAACAGTTGCATAACAACAATGACAATCTGTTGTTATGCTGCATAACAATAATAGTTTTGGGTTTGTTGGAAAAATAATTCTATTTTCGGTTTGTTGGTCCTTCGGCTTGTTGGCCTACCACCCAAGTTTTGGCCGATTGACCCAAATATATTTCTAAAACAGCCTTTCTCGTCAAAAAACACTAACTTTAAGATGGAAGCCCGCGCCAAAAAACGGGGTTTTCGGACAAAATTTGGTTTGAAAAGTCTAGTAGTTTTTGGGCTTTTCTTCTGAATAATTGTCTGCGTTACAAAAAATGCGATGCTAGGTAGTAAAATATGAGGTAGTAAAAATAACATTCTTGGGGCAACATTGAATCAAAAAATTAAATAAAACTCAGTTTTTAATGGGCGTGGCGGTTTTAATTTCTAAAGTTACAGTAACTAACTACTTTTATAAAATTGCTTGTGGTAAATTTTATTCAAACTTCCGGTTTTCTGAAAAACTGAACTTTCAGTAGCGCGCTCTTATTTCCAGGAAAAACACGCACTAACAGAAAGAAATTAGGATCCGTTTAATTATGAACAAAGCATGTATATATAATTAAGATTGATTTTATTCTGAAAAAGTATGTAGATTAAACAGAAAATACTAAGTTTGACTTGGGTACACTTTTAAAATCAGTTTGTTAACAACTCACTTGGAAGAAAGCCGAATGAGCTGTGAATGAAGCAAAGTAAATACGTATTGGGTCGTGCGTCTCATATTTGAAGCATACTACAGAGTCGTAATCTTCCTTGTAAAATCCATGAAGACATCCATGGCCTGGTTTGAATTTTGAAGGAAACTAGAAGAGTTAAATTATCATTGTACCTCGCTTTTAGTAGAAAAGTTTGTTCGTTTCATCCGGTTATTTGAAATCAGCTTTTGCATGAGATTGTTTAGCACAAAATGAGAAAATTTTTTATTAACCGGAAAAAAAGGCGCAAAAAACATTCCATAATAAATAATTGAACGTATCATCAAGTTTCAAAACATTCTGTAGACATCTCATAATTCGCAAATACCCATAACTTTTCGTCTTTATAAAATATCCAAGAACAACAAAAGGAAAAACCCGGCCCGCCCAAGGGAGCTCAGAATCCTTATAGGAAGCTTTTTCCAAGATTAAAAAAATTTACGTTTTTGCTACAACTTGCGCGTTAAAATTGGTCGGACTAAGTTTCAACTGTTTTCAACGACTCATCAAAGAGTTCATATGGTTTACAGGACTGATCTGATCGTAAGTCAAGGCGAAGCCTTGAATGCTCCGACTGCATTTTGAGTCCAATTAAAAAGTTTTTTTGGTCACATAATTGACGCAATAATTGAACGATTAAAAATCGTATTTTTGTTCCGACTTGCGATACGAAAGTAACGGAATAATTGTGCTCGTTTTTTTTCTTCAGACAAATTTCGACTTTTTAACTAGCCATTTTTGACGGAATTTTTTTATATCATTCAAAAGGTATTAGTGTCCTGGAGCTTAAATTTGAAAAGATATTTCATCTGTGATGATTTTTCGTAGAGTTATGAGGGTTTAAAGTTTGCTATTTTGGCCATTTTGACCAATTTGGGACAATTAACGCGCGACATAATTCGCGCTATGAACGCGTAAGCGGAGATTTAATCCGCCTTATAAATCGTTCCAAATTGGTTGAACGAAGCTTATTTGCCATAATTGATTTGTTACTAGGAGCGAAATCTATTCTTTTGTACTTTATATGGCGTGTGGGGGGGGGGGATGATTTTGCTCGTTGCTTGAGGGTGAGGCAACATTACCCAGCTCTTGTGTTGGTCCTTTCCCCCGTGGATAAATGGTCTTAATAAAAAATTTCAAATTTTAGAAAAAAAAATTTTCGTTTTATTTTATTTCATTTAATTTTCCTATGTTATTACTGCTGCTCCATAAACCTTAAAGGCAGTCGGAACATTCAGGGCTTCGCCCTGATACGAGCAGTCTTGTTCTTAACTTAATTCCCCATACGCAATGTAAAATGCAAAGGGTGTGTTGAACACCTCGTATTTATTGTTTCGCTCTCTTGATCTGAATGGGACTTTCCGAGTGTGCACACCACTATAGTTACCTGCCATAATTATGCCAAAACTGATTTAATATCCCGCACTACAAAATCGTTCCAAATTGAAGTGAGGCGGCAGATTGATTTTGTTAACTCCAAACACGACTAAAGTTGCAACACGTATTTTTTGATATTATCAGCCTAAAATTCATAGTTTTCCTAAAAAGGTTTAATTATCCAAACACTATCCCTGACCATTTACAGGCAGATGGAATGGAACGTTCACGGCTTTGTCCTTATACGAGCTGTCTTGTTATTGAATATGACTAAATTGCTGGCATACAATTAATTTTGAACCTACTTATCCGTCGCCTACGCTTGTAAGTAAGAACAGTAAATATCGCGCGTTAATTATCCCAAATTGTCAAATTCAAAATTTTTCTACCCCCTATTCTTGACACAAAAAAAAGATCACAAGTACAGCATATTTTCAAATTTGAGCTCCGCACAACAATTTTTTACAATTGGTAAAAAAGAATTCCGTCAAGAAGCTTTACTTAAAAAGACAAAAATTGACTGAATAAAAAAACCATCTCAGCCCCAGGCAAAAATTTTCCGCACTTTCTTTGAAAGTCGGAACAATAATTTGACAATTCAACAAAAACGCTGGTGTGAGAAAAATAACACCGTGAGTGGGTGGAAATTTTAAATTTTTGACACCAAAATCTGAGTTATCCGTACATTTTGAGAACATTCTTGATTTTTTTGGTACCGAAACTAAATGAGATGACCACTTGGTATTCCCAACCAACACAAACCGGAATAGTGCCAGCCAACAGTCAAATTTGATGATAGCAATATAATAGAATGACGGGATCAACCGTACAATCCCCCCCCCCCCCCCCAACTGACCAACAGTAGAATACCCTACCCCCAGCCACGTACATGCTATACGGGGCTCTGGTTCCTTGAGCACACACAAAGAGAAATGGATCTACTTAACAATCGCCCTCCCTTTGATATCTACTTAAGAATTGACACCCTTATTAATAAAAGCAGTAAATAGCACGAAAACTCATTACTTTAATCTACTTAACAATTGCCCCCCCTTCTTAAAAGGGGGAGGGCAATTGCTAAATAGTTCCAGAGAAATATATTATTATCGCATGTATTTTATTATCGCCGCAATTAACTCAGCCGAGCTTTTGGCGCGTGTAGAGAAGTAGTCAACGCGATACCAAGTTTTTTATCAAGAGTTTGCTTGTGTTCTCTATTCGACATATAACAGCACTTGTATATGCTAGAGGTTGACCTAAAAAGTTATGGCCATCCAATCGTTAGTACTCGTTTTCTGTTACGTTTGTGTTTGTGATTCTTTTTCGTTATTTCTCCCAAAACCAACAAAATTAATTTAAACTCTTAAATCGAAAAAAAAATTCCAGGATAACATTTTTTTTCTGTTTTAACCTACTGTCGCTTTTCCTTCTTTTTCGATTTTTTTTCTCGGGAAGTTTTTAATTTTGTGAAGTCAATTATGAATATACTCTAACCTATTATATCTGACTGAAAGGCATCTGTTGAGGACAAACTGTTATGCAACTAACTGGCTAATAAGTTTTTTACCCTATCGATATTATTTTGTAAAGAGTAGTATATGAGTGAGGTGATCAGGGGGGGGGGGGTGGGTGGAGACCCCCATGTATTAAGATAGGGAATAGAGTATCCGGTCTCCAAGCTATGTATTAAGATAGGGAATAGATTTCCAATGTATTAAGGTAGGGAATAGGTTTCCCATGTTTTAAGATGGTAGGTTTCAGATGGTAAGTTTCAGAAAAATTTTTGGCGCCCGAATTTTTTGAGCTCGATTTTGCCAATACTTGCGTTTCTTAGTCAACTTCTACGATTTGTGATATGTAAGGACTATATTGTTTTACAAAAATTCGAGACCCCCATGTATTAAGATAGGGAATAGAGTATCCGGTCTCCAAGCTATGTATTAAGATAGGGAATAGATTTCCAATGTATTAAGGTAGGGAATAGGTTTCCCATGTATTAAGATGGTAGGTTTCAGATGGTAAGTTTCAGAAAAATTTTTGGCGCCCGAATTTTTTGAGCTCGATTTTGCCAATACTTGCGTTTCTTAGTCAACTTCTACGATTTGTGATATGTAAGGACTATATTGTTTTACAAAAATTCGATATGGTAAGTTTCAGAAGGTAAGTTTCAGAAAATTTTTTGAAAATTTTTTAAGTTTTACTTGCAAATACATTTTTATCTTGAAAAAACAATTTTTTATTAAAAAATGAAAAATTTTTTTTGGATGGTAAGTTTCAGATGATAAGTTTTGACGAAAATTAAGTTTCGATTTAGAGTATGGGATCATAAACTAATATATCACGGAATATTTTTTTTCTCGAAAGAATCTTAAATTCTTATTTCATGTTATTTATTTTCCCTCAGGTTATCTGGGGAAAATTGTCAAGAGGGGATTATCTTTGACAGATTAGTTATTCCGCTCCACGGGATATCAGGGGAATCTTGACAGCTCCTCACGGTTGATTACTTTTATATCCTACTTAATCTTTTTTCCGCAGGTTATCTGGAGAACGGATGACAGGTTCATTACACTTGTTAATTTTATCTTTTTTCACATAATTATCTAACTTATTTTTACCTCAACTGGTTTATTTATTCTGTCATATTTCTTGCTACGATTCATTTCAGTTCTCTTTTATCACTTTGTCTTTAATCTTTAAAAAATTCTTTGAAATTTCCAAATTTTCCAAAAAAATTATTTGAAATTTCCAAATTTTCCAAAAAATTATCATCCAAATTTATCAATTGCTCAGCCACGGTAAAAGTTTACACTGAGAAAAACATAGTATCATTTTTTTTGGTTCTGATACTTTTGTGTAATAATTTTTCCATCTTTCTCAGAGTAAACTTTTCAGAAAATTATACAATTTACTAGAAATTGGTTACAATTTTCGTAAATTTATCTACTCTATCGTTAAATCTTTCAATTGGGGGACTACAACGTCCATATTCCATCATCATTCTCCGTATTTCATCAAAGGGTTAGTTGCTAAGATGCTTTTCGTAAAAAATCTAAGGAATTTAAAAAGTTAAATTACATAAATAATCAAACAATTCACTACATCGTATAGTAAAATTACTGCAAAAATTAACACTTACAAAAAAAAATGCACTTTTACATGAAATTACTGATAAAATTCAAAACATACACATCATGAACATTATTCAAGTTCTTTTGGAAGAATTTAAAAAGGAGAAACGCTGAATAAATTGCGTAAAAACCACACAAATTATCAGTCTTTTGTAGCTTTCGAGGAACCATTCGTCGAAACTTTTTCGTCAAAAAGGGGGTAAGTTGATCTCTTTCTTCCCAAAGAATCTGCAAAGTAGTAGCTTTTATTCATTCGAGCAATCATAATCCAGTGTTCTCCTCTATCATTGCTTGGGGCTGAGTTAATAATTGCAAAAGAGTATTTTGTTAGTTGAGGTACTGTATCAGAAGGGTATGATCCCATGTACTTGAACCTGAGCTCTGGAATTCTTTCAATAATTTGCAAAAGTGAGATGTTATCCATCTTTGCAATTGTAGGCTGATTTACAGCTAAAAATGAAATTGATAGTTTGATAGTGTACTTTAGGTTAAAAAAAGAAAGAATTATGACTTACACACATTTAGGAATTGAATCAACAAAGTCCCATACACAAGCCTTATATAGTGGGCAAAGTTTT